AAAAAAATTTTGAACTATTTTTTCCTAAAGATGATACAGTAATATGTGCCTGCTACCTCAAGAGTCTTATTTATTTGAAATCAGACTTTTTTTCAGTGTTAAATACCAGCCACACAGGTGTTATAAATGTGAGTACTATATCTGCACGTGACAGGAGCTTAGGGCTTTAATATTCAGGATAGATTTTCTTTTCCTTACTCCTAAGTAGACATAAAATCTTTTACTTCATCTCCTGGTCAGTAGGAAGAATCATTTTATTGTTTCTTGTACATATAGGCTGGTCCTTTTCAGGCGATGGTTAAATTGGCTCTTGGCTATCATCTACATCTCCTGGCATCCCATAGCATTGCATTTCAGTCACTGACAAAATTATACAGACACACTCTCTGGATATAACTTTCTTCTTGCTTCCGGCTGTGACTTTTCATTTCTTCCAATACCTGCTCTATATTTAATTTTCTTGTTATGGATTACCTAACATTTCTGAATGTTTGTAACAAGAAGATAATCCATTTTAACTCAGTTATATTGCTGAAACTGTAAGTGCCAGAGTGATTTTCAAAAATATAAATCACATGACATCACTACATTACTTAACATGGTTAAAGACTTCTCATTGCACTTAGAATGAAATGGAATCAGTTTCCCATGGTGTATAGCGCCTTTCTCAATCAACTATTGACTGTATTTCCAGTCTCATTCTATATATATTTTTCTTTTGTTGTTCATAGTTTTCTAACCCCACTGCCTATTTCCTGAAAATATCAAAAATCCTTTTCCTAAGACACTCTTTCCAGAGGACCCTTCCAATCTTTCAGTGATCTCTGACAACTGCACCTCCACTTTCATCTTCATACCATAATTTTTCATTTCCTTCAGAGTATTTGGCATGATCTCCTATTATCTTATTTATTTGTTTATTCATTGGTTTTCTGCCACCTCCAACCACAGTGTATGTTCCATACATACACAAAACTACATCTTGGATGCTGCTCTGGCCTCCAAATCTAGCACAGTGTCTGATCAACATTGAGGATATAAATGAAGCCAGAAGAAATATTTAAAAAATTTCTGACTCAATTTTCCATTATTTACAAATGGTGAAAAGAATTTATAAATTATTTGTTGTTGTTGTTGAATGCCATTGAATCGAGCATGACTCATAGCAACCCTATGAACAAAAGACCTGAAGCCATTCTATACTATCATTTCTCAAAATTCATAGGGTTTCCAGAGGCCTGTTGTTTAGGAAGTGGATGCCACAACCTAAGTGCCCATCAACAAATGAATGGCTAGAGAAGCTGTGGTATATTCGCACAATGGAATACTATGCTGCATT